AATTAAATATAGGCAGTATTATAACTATAACTGTTAAGAATGTAATAATTATTATTTTATACGATTATGGAAAATATTAGATTTAAGAAAATATACGTAACACAAATTTTTTAATATTAATCTTGTATTTATTTAGAAATCAAATAAAAATAAATCTTCATCTTTCTCATCACACAGTGAATCTGACGAAAATGGAAATAATTATTCGGTAATATTACTATTGGCTATTAAAATCATTATTATCATATTATTATTAATTTCATTATTTTTCAAGATATTTAGAATAATTTCAAGCTTTTTAATACAAAAATATATCGATACTATTATATGCAATATGTCAGTTTGGAATTCTAAGTTAAAATAATATAAAATAATATTGGAAGTGTTTAATAATTATTATAAAAAATGTAATATTTTACATTTTTTGAGGAAAATGAAAGAAAATATATATACAGGGTGTAACAGTACTATTTGACAAATATAGTAATATTTGTAATGGAAATTTGTTAAATAGTCCTGTTACACCTTATATATACAATTGTGATCTTAAAATATATTTGTACTTATTTAGAAATCAGAAAAAAAGAAATCTTCTTCACACAGTGAATCTGATAAAACAGGAAACAAGAATTTGGTAAGATAATTATTGAGATTTTAAAATTTTAACCAAGATTATTATAATATTATGTTTCAAACATTTTAAAAATATTATGAATTTTTTAAACTTAAAAGTTTAAAACTAAAATAGATTATTATTATATTGGTGTTTTTACAATTATTATTATTAAGATAACAATATTTGAGTGGTTTTTGGGAAAAATAAGTTTTTAAAAAATGTAATAAATGTTTAGTGTTAATATAACTTTTGATTTCATTTAGAAATCATAAAAAAAATAAATCTCTATCTCGCTCATTAGACTGTGAATTTGACGAAAACAAAAAAAGAGAATCGGTATAATAATTATTGAAAATTGAAACTTTTTTCAATTATTATATTATTATTATCCATTCACTTTAAAAATATTAAACTATTTACTACACGAATATATGTATGACATTATTTTTTGGTAGGCTGTAAGCCCAATATAATTCGTAGATATATTATTAAATCTAAGTGGATTTAACACATACCTTACTTAATTATTAGTTGATTCGTCATAAGATAATTAAATAATTTAAACTATATAAGTGATAAGATACAGATGATATTAAAAATAAGTAATTTTATAATGAGTTCAACAGTTAACAATAACAATAATTTCAGCTGCAAAGTAAAAATGAATGCTTAATGCAAAGCTGCACCATCTAAACAACTAGTGATTTTCTACCATAATTAGTATTGTGAGTGGCAAAATTGAAAGGCGCAGATTAAATAGAATTGTACGGGAATGAAATTTAAAATAAACTTGGGAAGGGAGTGAAAGAGCATCAATATGCCTATTAATTAGTCGTGTGGAGGGTGATCAATTTACAGAATAAACGATGACGAGTTTAACATCACCTTTGGGTACGTTATATAAGCAAAGGTTCTACAGCTGTTCATGGGTTCCAAAGTACTGAAGTATACTCTAGAAGGAATCTAAAAAGGGAATAGTAAATTACCTCCAGTGAATCGAGAAACTTAAAATCTTTAGAAAAGCGTGACACAAAACTAAGTGACTGAAGAACTTTAAAACACAATGCTTCAATGCGGTGTGTAGAAATTCGGCCTAGGGTCAAATATAAAATCTAAATATTGCATACTAAGTACTACTCGTGACTAAAGATTTGAACTATTAATGACATAGGTAAAGTTGATAGTTGGCCGATACTTATARAAAGTTATAGAGTAGCATTTATCAGCGTTCAGTTGTAATTCAATCAAATTAGGCMAAGTAATTATGGAACTAGGTTTATTTTATAATGAATGGATCGGCAAGAAGGAATGACTTAATTAATTCCTTTAATATATCGCGAATACATCATAGGGAACGTTTGGCCTCTTCATGGAATACATTATGAGATTTTGATCACATTGTATTTATATCCAAAACCTTTAATTCATTGAACTCTGACACATCAATACGAGCCAAGAGAAAGCAGATTCGCCAAATTCTGATCTGTAAAGAATATTTATGAAAATAGTATGGTGATCAACTCTGTCAAAAGCTTCAGAAAAGTCAGTGAATATGACATCGACTTTAGAGTGCTCACCAAAAGCTTTGAAAATGTAGTTATTAAATATAATTAAATTTGACATACCTATGTCTGAAACCATATTATTCGTATAATCAATATATTGTCATCCGGTGGTTAGATATTTAATAACACTAATGGCTTAAATCGCTTGACAATAGATTTAATTAAGATTGAAATTAGTCTATAATTTTTCACCTCAGATTTATTCCTGGATTTGAATACCGGTGTTATAGAACTAATCTTCAGCTTGTTGGACATGCAAAAAAATTCGGTTTTACAATAAAATCTATTTTAACCACATAAATAATTCACATAAAATATATTTATATATTTAAAGATTTCCATTTTTTTTTTTTTCTCATGTTAATGTAAATAAATTTCCATTATCGTCTAATGATTGTCAAAAAAGACCAATATAGTAATTTTGAATCAGAAACAGATGACGAAGTTATGCAAACAATAGTAATATATATATATATATATATATATATATGTCTTAATTACCAATTATGTAGATATACTTTTTTTTTATAATAAATTATTTTTCCTTATTTTTTAGAATAATGAAAATGATGAATCATTATCTTCTTCGTCAATTTCCGAACATGGTATAGAAGGAATGAAGAAATCGGTAAATATTTGGTTTTTATATATTATTTAGGATAAGAAAAATAAAAATCGCGATCTTCAATGAGACGTTATGGAATTGGGTAACAAGGATTAAATAATTCATTAAATACGTTTACTWTTGTCATATGCTTTGATTTTCAAATTCTAAATTATTAATACATTTTCTGAAAAACAATAATTAGGCGTGGATGTTAGCTTTAATGTACAATATAAACATTTGATAACATTTATTTCATTTTTCGTAAATACAATAAAATACCTATTTTTTCTTTTTTTTTTTTATTAATTTTACTTATGTTATTAATACATATTTTGTTGAGAAACTTTACATCTAGTTATATGTTTATAAGACGTATGAAAATAAATTTAGAACAGTGTATAGAATGTTATTGTGTGATTGAAGCAGATAGTAAATACATAAATATTTAGATTATTAGTATATTATATTCATATATTAAATATTAATCAATTCTTTTATTTAGAAATTGAAACAAACGAAATCTTCTTCCACTGGCATTTCGGAAGGGGAAAAGGAAACGAATATGGCGGTAAATAATATTATTTTGTACATTTCGTAATATTGTACTTATTGTAATTTTTTTTAGACACAAAAATCGGAATCGATTCAATTTGAACGCAACTTGGTATGCAGTTAAATTATAATTTATAATTCAGTTAAAATGTACTTGACAAATGATTATCTTATACAATGTAGAAAAATAAAAAATATGACAATCAAGGAGATGAAAATTACACCGGATGCGGTTGTCAATGAATTACTGTAAAATTTAGTCGTATCTATTATTATATTATTATGTCACTATTGAATATTATATTTTTCATTATCGTATAAGAGTYATAACAATTTTAAATACAATTTATCTCAATCTAAACTAATATCTGTGTTATGCTTATTTTATGTGTTACTACAGTACCTAAAAAAATAAAACGTTACATTATAAAAATATTATAAAAGCACTTAATAATACTCCGATTTTTAAGGTCGCTATTATATGTACCTATAGTTAGGTAGCAGATAATATGCCTTGGAAATATCATAATTTGAAAATTTATGAGTTATTCCAGAAGTAGTGTATAAAAATTATATTAAATACTCGTAATTGACACAAAAACAGTTGATTCAATAATATAACAGCCAACATTTCATGTTTAAAATAGCTTCATTGGGTGAATTTAAGCAACGTTCTCAATCTCTCTTCAAAATTCTATACCCTATCACAGGAAAGACAATAATAACAAATAATCGTTATTATAGTAAAGGAATTTTATTAAAATATTTTTAATCGACTTTTTTTGTAAGGTTAATTAAATTTTCATAATATTGTATAGTAAAAATGAACAATTGAAATTAAAAATTGAGTAAATCAGGTTGTAATGGAATTTCGTTAATTTTTGTTTTACTTTTTGATAAACTTAAAATGTTAGAATACAGTGACTATAATTAACGAACCTTACAAACATATCTTCTTTAAGTATCKTGAAAATATATAAAGTAAACATAATATATTGAAAATTGATACAAATAAATAAATTTTATTGTTATATGAGAGTTTTAAAAATGACAAAACTAAGTTTTGCTTTTAGAATCATTCTTTGCTATGATTTATGGTTGCTATTAAATTTGGAATAACAACACAACACAATATTGTATTGAGGTGAGTGAACCGAGACGAGTGCAAATAAGCACTCACGTGTTATATTGGTTTTAAAAATTTTATAATACATTTTAATAAAGTACAATATAATTTTTACTTGGTATATTTCATAAAAACTGTCAAATCACAACTCAGAAAAGTATGGTGCATTCTTTTTCTTTTCAAAGATTTGATTTGGTTTTATTATGTGCATTTTTACGATTGGATAATATTTTAAACATATAAGTGTATGATAATGCTTTAAATAATATTGTTTTATAATTTATAACTTGTAAAA